TGTTTAATCTGCCACCCTGAGTGTTTATTCGGTTGGTGTGAAAGAGCTAACAACTGAGAAGGCATTTTAAGGGACAGCTCACGCCACTTTGACGCCAATTTCCAGCGGGCTCTGGCATGCTCGGCCACCAGAACGATTTTGGCGGCCTAACTTCGTGCTATGCCAAAGACGTAGCTCCCGTTTCCGGCTTTGCACTGCACCAAGAGAGGAGCTTCCGGCAGCGTCCCTACGGAGTGGCCTGGATATTTAGGCCAAAAAGAAAGGGCCTTTAGGACGCAGCGCAGGTCAAAGAGTGCGCTATGCTGCCCAGTCAATTGAGGAAGGTGGCTTGCAGAGGAGGAAAATCGAAAAAGCGTTATTGACTCAAATTAGTAACATTCCGATTTTCTGACACGTCATCATCAAGGGAGAGTGGAGACTTGCATCGACGTTTTTGAGTTCCTTGGGACAAACTGCAGAAGGCGCGAGGTTATGGTCGCTAGCTTATTGATGAATCACTGACGCAGCTGATGTTGCACAGCTGTGCCTCTATGTCTTTAGATTTTTTGGATGGTGAAGTGCTTTCGGGCAGGAGTGGGCTACTTGGACTTAATCCTTTGGGGATGGACACGTCGACCGGTGAGATGATGTTCCACAAGTGGGGGGGGGGGCGGGCGGCCTTTCGTTTTTCAGCGGAGGGCGAGCCACAAGTTGGGATTGGATCGTATTACATGCTGTGCTAGACGGATGGCGGGGCCCCCTGCGATGGTCGCGGCGCCGAACACAGGACTGTCCGGCGTAGGCCTGGCAGATGCTGGCCTCCACAGCCTGGCGGGCTGCAGTCGGCATTCATTGCCTCATCCACCAAAGCTCCTGGCGAAAACTGAGTGGTCGAGTTAAAAACCAGCACAATGGACTCTGTCATGGCGTATTTTAAACGGTTTCTTCATTGTAACTCCAGTTTACGGCACCGCCTTTTCCGCCAGATGCTTGTCAGACTATGTCGCCTCGATATAATGATTTGCTCATTGCACAGTGACAATTTGACACTCGCGCTAAGCAAATAGGAAAACGCTTGCAACGATTTTTGTGAACTTTAAGGAGGAAGATCATGGCCGTTTCTCCGCAATTCAAAACTAAAAAAAGCCACGCCTTTTCTGTGATCTGATAGAGGAATGATGAGTTTTCCGCTGCTGTTTGCTTTTGGAGCGACTCATTTTCCAACATCTGAACCAACTCAATTTGGAGCTGCAGGGCAGAGATAAAATGGTTACACAACTTGTGGAGAGACTCCATGCGTTTCAAAAAAAGCTCACACTTTTTTTTGCGGATTTGTGTCCAGGCAAAATGCTCCATTTTCCAACCATGCGCACTGCAGGTTTACAAATCACCAAGGTGATGACTGGATTTATGGACGCATTGAAAACCAACTTTGCCGCAAGGTTTGACCATTTCAGTCTCCCAACTGAAGTGATGAGATTTGTGAAGGACCCTTTCTCTGTGAATGTAGAGGGGGAGTTTGCACTGAAAGCAAAGGAGCTGATTGTGACATTAAATGAGGCGTCTTTACAACTCAAACTCATTGACATTCAGTCATCAGATGACCTGCGACAGTCATTTCAGCTGGCAGGTTCTGAAAAGTTCTGGACTCATGAAGTCAGCCACGAGAAATTCCCTCATTCAAGGGGTCTTGCACTTTTTGTCCTCACAATGTTTGGCTCGACTTACACGTGCGAATCGGCATTCTCACACATGAATGCCATAAAAACTAATAATCGAGCATCCCTCACTGACCAGCATCTGCATCACTGTATGCGTATTGCCATGACAACGTATACTCCCGACTTCCCTGCTCTTGCTAAATCGAAAAAATGCCATTTCTCTCATTAGATGGCATATATCTGCCAAGTTGGTTGCATACTGTATGTCAGTTATCACTATGTTAATCAAAAAAGGTTTGAGTTTTAAAAGGCTGTGTGTTGTGGTTTGGTAATTAATACAAGTCTTTTGATAATTGCTTTTAATTGATGCAATTGATGTGGTATGGCTCACTTGTCTTTATTGTTATTATACCATAATATACACTGTTGTTTGTGTATGGCCCTAAATTGCTATTTTGTGTGAATTATTCGATCATTTAATCTAAATCTAATGATGTTGATGGTTATATTAGCTTCACATGTACTGAGTTCTGAACTTGNCAAACCCGTAGTAACAGTACGAGTTTTCTGTCGGTGCAAAGTAGAAGATTACGGGAAAACGGACTACATTCCATGCGCAACAGTGAGTTTCCGGCAACGAAGGAGTGGCTTCGTAAGAAGCATTTCAAGGTCCTGGAGTGGCCTAGCCAGTCTCCAGATCTCAACCCCATAGAAAATCTTTGGAGGGAGTTGAAAGTCTGTGTTGCCCAGCGACAGCCCCAAAACATCACTGCTCTAGAGGAGATCTGCATGGAGAAATGGGCCAAAATACCAGCAACAGTGTGTAAAAACCTTGTGAAGACTTACAGAAAACGTTTGACCTCTGTCATTGCCAACAAAGGGTATATAACAAAGTATTGAGATGAACTTTGTTATTGACCAAATACTTATTTTCCACCATAATTTGCAAATAAAGTCTTTAAAAAGCAGACAATGTTATTTTCTGGATTTGTTTTCTTCTCATTTTGTCTCTCATAGCTGAGGTATACCTAGGATGTAAATTACAGGCCTCTCTCATCTTTTTAAGTGGGAGAACTTGCACAATTGGTGGCTGACTAAATACTTTTTTGCCCCACTGTACTGCCACCCGATGTCCCGGGTAAACCGCCAGAAGCGTCGACACCTCCTCATCACTCCACCGTTCCCGCGTTTTATTTTGTGTTGCCACTCTCTCCGTTGGTGCGCTGGGCTAATGCTAATAATGCTAAATGCGAGCAAATAAAATGAGGGTTTCACAAAACCTTTTGGGAGTTTTATGGGGCGTGGTTTGCAATTCGCCCAGCCAATCAGAAATGGGAACCTTTTTCTCCCAGGAAAGTACCTGCTCTCTAGCAAAGGGGTGAAAAGGTTTGCAAAAAAAAGTTCTAGTTCCAGATCTTTTTGGTGTGAACGCAAAATCCCAGGGACTATCGGAACTATGGGAAAAGTACTCCGGTGTGAAAGCGCCTATTATCTCCAAATAACAAATGTCCTGAGAGCTCTAGTAGAGAAACTTTCTCGGGATAATGACTTAACTTCAAAGCCATGAGTAAACAATGATTTATAAATCAAACTAATTTGTAATGTTAGTGGTGATAACATTAATAACTTTCATGGACAAAGGGTGGTTATAGATTGTGCGAAACATGACCTTTAAGGGCCACCGTACTTAAAGTCAAGGTGGATTTCACTTGAAGTCAGGAGGATTTTATAAGTTTTCTTGAGATCGGGAGTTATAAATGTTTTCATCTCCAATTAACAATCGCTTGAGAGATCGGGGTAGAGTCTTTTTCTCGGGATCCTGACATATTAAATAAAAGATCATGAGGAAACTATGTTTCATAAATAAAACGTTATGGGTCTTGGCCAATATGCCGTTATTTTGGGGAAACAACATTTGTAATTTGAGAGGAAGACATAAACAGCTTGTGAACTCAATTGTTATTTGTTATCATAGGAAAACAGTGGTAATGAAAAGACTTTTAACCATGGCTTTGGTTCAAGGTGAAAAATAAGCTTTTCCTCCAATTAATTAAAAAAACATTGTATCTCCATTTTATGCATCAAATCGAGTCGATCTGCTCTAATTAAGGTTCATTAATGTGCTGTTTTCCCTTGGTCATCGGCCAACCTAGGAAGATTGTGTGGTTAATTTAGAAAATGTTAAATAGGCAAAAAGGCAGACAGCACCTTCCCTGTAGACGACATGTTCCTCATCACATCTGTGTCTTTCTTTCTTCAGATCGAGTGGCCGGCTCCGCAGGATAAGAAGAGGGAGTGTGTGGCCAAGGGGAAGAACAACCAGGTAACACGCATCCTTTGGGGATTACCTGCTTTTCTCAAGGCCACGTGGCAGGAGGTTATATATATAGTATATATATACACTTCACTTTGCTCCATTACATTTTGTCAAGTCAGTCTAAGGGGTTTCTAACTGGAAGGCTTCCAGTCATTACATTAGCTCACAGCGTCTTCCAGGCAGCATCAGCAACTTTTGGAGGTGGGCCGATCCGGGAAGTGTTTTGTCTCGAGCAACAAAAAGAGAGGGGAAAGTCCCGCAGCAGAGAGAGTCTGATAAGTGATACGCATGCTGAGGCTTCACATTTAGCACACAGACATGAGAGTGGCTTCTCATCTGACTCTCAGCAGGAAAACTATTCCTTTTGAAATATTCATTAGCTTCTCGTAATGAAAAGAAGACTTCATCAGATAAAACATTTCTGAGGATCTACTTTTTCCAAATTTGAAATGATGATATTCAATAGAGGAGTAGCTCTCTGTAGTTCGGTATTAACTCTCACCATCAGTTGTGATCAGAGTTGGTCGGGTTACTTTCAAATGTAATCTGTTAGAATTACTCATTATCTCTAAATAGAGAACATTTCATCAGTAACCTCTTATTCATCTCATTATGTATTTTTTTTTCATTTTTTCGTTTTATTCTCTGTCAAAGCGTCTTTGAGTTTTTAGAAAAGCGCTTTATAAGTGTTGTGTATTATTATTATTATTATTATTATTAATAATCCAACCTGAATACTTTCCATTACTTTGGGATTATTGCAATATCAAATGCAATGTGAATAATTATAAGAGAAAATAAATATCACTAGGAGGTTTTTTTTAATCCATTATGTAAGAAAACAGAACAATAAAAGAAGACACCGAGATATTTAGGATCAAAAATGATGTTATGTATCAGAAAAGCTTCCTTTCATGAAGCATATTCAGCCTACACCAACAATGAAACACATGAGCACAGTTTAAAAAAGCAGAAATAAAATCTGAGCTGACAGAAAATGCTCCGTTTTAGTTTAATACACACAGGTAAGCACACACACACAACATATAGGTTCACCTGCTGAATTAAAAACAGAACAAATGAAGCAAAGAAAGTGAAAACCATGAAGCAGGTTAAGGCAGTAGAAGTATACACTTAAAGTCTACAGAACAGTACAGCTTACAGAGAAGAGATACCATCTGAACATACACATGTTCTCTTAGTCGTATACTAACATTGTTATCCTACTATTTACCCCCAAGTTTTAGAAATGTACCAGTAATCTGATTACACTGTTTGTTTTGTAACTGAAAGGGAAAACACTCCCTTTCCTCTCCGCCCCGGCTCCTCACTGCTTACAGGGCATAAAGTAAATCTGCAAGGAGTCTCGTTTAATATTTTATAGAAACACACAGACGTTTAAGAGACGAAGCTGAAAGCCTCTCTCGTTGCACAACAGTTACCTTTGATGTGGTTTCAAACAGAAGGGGAAATAGTTCAGTGGAGGGCAGAATAGGAGTACTGAATTAAAATGTGTCATAACTTCTCGTGTTGGGGCGTGAATGGTTGTTAAAATGCAGCGTGATGCCCTGTGATCAGGATACTTGGGTGCATTTAATCAAAAATGATAGCCAAAGTGCATTTAAAGCTACTTTAGTTAAGTGAATGTTTACACATGTCCTATTTATAACATGAATGAATAAGCATATGATGTTTACACTGCCCGTCGAGATACTCAATGATTAGTCTTTTTATGTAATGTAGTCGCCTGAAAGAGCACCGTCTGCCAGACGCACCTCGTCCCGATTATCCTCGCTGATTACAGGGCGCTGTAAAGATGTATTAAAACAAAATCATATTGCTCTTATAACAGCCGTGAGAGGCAGATATTGTTTTGCTGCTGCAGAGGCAACATCAAGTGGACGCACTGAATTATTCATTCCTGTAGCATCATGTGTGAGCATCTGTTTCCAATCCCATTCAAAGAGCTTTATTGTTCATCACAGCGCAGACATTAAAGGGCAGTGCCCATGAAACGCTGCATATATTACTTTGTTAATTACCCACAAAACTTTTGAACGGAAACATCCTGTCACCTTTCGGTCGCAGTGTAAAGGTTATTTAGATAATGTGGTTACATCATCTATTAAGAGATGTCCTCTCCTTCTGAGACCCAGAACATTATTGCTGTCCTCTGTGGAGGACATGACACTCAAGCCCTCAATTTAAACACCATGCGGGCACTTTATCTGAGTCCTAAAGTAGTGTGAGAAGTCCATCCTGATGTCTCCAGTGATGTAACACACACAAGGCACATGTGCTGTCTGCAGAAAAGAGGGAAACAGCAGAAAACACATTTTACTGTAGTGCTGTGAGCATACTTGCCAACCTTGAGACCTCAGAAATCGGGAGCATTTTAAAATGCAAAATGGGGGGGGGTGCTAGTGGATCGCCGGAGCTGTTAGAACTACAATATAAGCATGTTAATGTTAATCTAAGTGCAATGCCTTGGGGCCTGTAGCACCATCCTTGATGGAGCATATGTGTGGGCAGGAAAGGAGTGA